TTTTTTTAAAAAAAAAAAAAAAAAAAAAAAAAAAACTTTAGGTTGTTTACTGGTCAGTTAGTACTAACAGAATGAAAAAATAGCCAGTTACCATACAGTCAATAACCAATCATAAGTTACACAGATGCACTAGAAGTAACTGGAGTAAGAGTTTTATGTTCTGTAAATAAAAGTCACACACAGACTAAACTAAGCAATTGATACGGCAAACCTCCAGAAAAGAAAATTTAATTTTGAAAGTTTGTTCAAAGGCAAGATCTATTCTAAACTACATGTAATATTTTGAGTCTGAATTTCACAACATTGTGGAATATCAAATTTTTGAACACAAAAACACTTGGCACTTTTGCAACTGAAGAGAAACAGGAAGAGAAGGGGTATAAGAGCACCCTGAACTATCCTTTTAAAGATGTTACTTAGTGAAATCTTATAGCATACTATATATGATCATGTACATGGAGAAGGCTGGGGAGAGCAAGAAGAAGAAACAGCATAACCACCAAGCCAAATGTCAAAGCCACTGTATCTCCTAACTGTATATGCACATTCTCACATACTCACAGACAAACACACACACTGCAAACCTCCTTCCTCATTTCCTAAGAAAGACATTGAGAATCCCACTCTTGCCTAGTATCGCTCAAAGAAATACACCCTCATAGATCCAAGGTTTCAGGAAAACACAGCTTGAAATTAGTTCCACAGTTAAACTGGCAAAGACTTTTAACTTCTGTAACTCAATAGCTACAGAAGCTGAAAACAACTGTCTCAAAATACATGCAGGGAGCTTTTGGTAAAGCAATTGTCATATCCTTCTATTAAAATACAAGCAAGCAAGAAGAAAACCAACTAACCCACAAACCAAAATCAAACAGAAAACAAAACAAAGACCAAACAATAAAATGAGGAGTTTAGTACCATAAACTTATTTGTTAATTTATAACTGTTTCTTTTTTCTTCTAATTGAGAAGAAAAAACAAAGAGAACTCAAATTCACCTATGGCATCAACAAGCAGAGCTAGCTTTGTTACTCAATGTGAAAGCTGCATGTGGCCATCTCCAGCAGATTAACAGATTAGTATAGCAATAATCATTCAAGACATAACCACTTAAAAAGCTGTTACAATTATGATATTTGGCTGATTATTTTTCTTTTTAAAGATTCTCTTAGGCAAACTGTACTGCAGTTTGTGTCTAAAAGAAAAAAGTACTATCAGGAAAGCACAAATTAAGAAGTAAAGGAGTCTGTCCAGATTCAATTAAATAAAATGCTAAGGCCAAACACAGTCATAACAATGATTTACCACCTGTTTTGCAACTCTATTCCTGAAAATCCTAGAATAAACATCTTAACTCTGAATCAATGTTATAAACTAAGTTGCAATAAAAGGTTTGTTTGATTTGTAAGCACATCTTTTTTTTTTAATAAACAAAATTAAGATCAAGTATCCCTGAAATCATTCTGCTCAGAAACCTGGTTCCTATAATCGTCTTATCAAAACACTCAACACAACGTTCTGCATAAACCAAGAGATATTTTAATTGTAGACAAATAAGCCCAGTACCGTGAAAATGACAAAAAGGAAGACAAGACAGACAAACAATACAACTTCTGATCATTACTTAATGTAGAAGTGGAAACATTAGCAGGAGTGTCGGTACTTACTGTGCCTGGCTCTCTGTCTGCTCCCGTAGTAACCAAGAAATGCACAGACATGCCCGTTCAGACACAGAGGCAAGAACAGAAATAAAAAAGGGGGGAAAACAAATTAGAACACAAGCCACGAACAGTTTTAAAATGGCTTTTATTTATATGAGTCATTGCACATTCCTAATACAGTGATCTCCTGAAAATTACAGTATTTTGTAAACAAGATTTACAGTTTAACCATACACAAAGCCTAGTTTTATTTCATGACATAATAAATTATTTTCTTTTCAAAAATTAGTCAAGTGCAATTTTGCCCGATATTTAATCGCACACTAGAATTTAAGCCTACCAAACTAAAGCAACAGATGCAATTACCTAAATCTTTTGTTTGAACACATTCACTTCAAAATTGAAATTCTCATTCCTCCCTACTATCCCACCCACCCACTTAACGACATTATTTGCTTTAAAAAATTACCCATTTATGCAGTTTAACAGTTTTCCACAATATGGTGCAGGCCACTGGTGTTACACTAAACATTTACCAGAATGTCAAAATGCCCCGCAAACTACAGAGCACATGACACCTAGTGATCCCCATTTAAAATATTGAAAATTTCCAAGCTGAATTTTGCTTCACTGGTATATATGCAGACATTTTTAAGTTTGCCAGAAGTTAGTTGTTATTCTATAAAACTCAATTTCTTTAGAGATGCACATAATTCGCAGCAATGCTCAAATCTGACAGTGTCCTAATCAGGTCTGCCATGCCTCTCACCTCTGTGGTGCTCTGCATCGTGATGCTTCTTGTCATCTTTTATTGCCAAGTGAGACTGACCACCCAAAGCACTAGAAAGGGCAAGGAGGCCAGCACTGCTTCCAAGTGGAGGGATTCCTGAAGGCTGAAGTCCTGATGGATGTGGTGTTAGAGGCACTGGAGGTCCATGGCCATGGGAGAGATGTTGAGCCTGCAACTGCTGCTGCTGTTCCCAGTGGCATCATCATCCCCAGAAGAATAATGTGATTTGGGAAGGAGAAGGGAGAATAGGTTTGGTTAGTTATTGAGAACCAACAGTGGATTTTTATTATTATTTAATCTAGGTTCTCCTGTTTGTCCCAGCACACTAGACACTGCACTACATCATGCTGTCTGTGGACACTTCTGATCACATTCCACAAAGCAAAGAAGGCTAGCTGAATATCTGCTATAGAGTCTGAGAAAAACATTAGACTACCAAAAGTCACTTTGTTTTGGACAGCCAGTCTTTGTCATAATATCACCAGTGACAAAGATCAGCAGCAGAATCTGCAGAATTCCAAAGAAGGCTTCACTACCTTTCCCTTTCTATAGGGAGGCATAGCACTGGCTTAGGAAAACAAAAAATTCACTGACAAAATCCAAGCCATGCCGTGCTCCTCAAGTGTGAAAACAGGAACTTTATACTTCTTGTAGCTATATCTATATTTTTTTTCTAGCTAAGCTTGTGAAGAAAATTGTTAACAAACATTATGCTTTGGAATAAATTTTGAGTTTAAAATCCAGGTATTCCAAATAACATTAATAAGATAATGGAAATTCCAAAGCAAACATGGTACTAATAAATTAAAATCTATTCCAAACTCAGATAGCAACATGAGTACAAAAGAGTGGATGTAAAACCCAGTAGCCAAACTGGCAACATGAACTTCAAGCAATTTTAGGAACAAATTCCCTAAAATGGAATATCTTAGTATTTACTCAATGTGGGAAAGTTATTTTCTAGTTGAAGTTGTTATGGTTCTACTAACGTTTTCCAAGACCAGCAAACCATTTAACTTTGTCCAAATTGCTCAGCACAGATTCATTCAGAAACTTAGGTTTCAAAACCACCTTTAGCTTAGTCATAGCTCCCCTTTAGTTTGCTACAGGAAAAGAGAAATTCTTCCTATTTTTTGCTTTCTTGGGCCTGGACACATGAACAAAAGACAACAAATCTTTCTCCTTTAACCATATTCCACCATCCCTCTGCTGAAAGTAAACAGCATAAAAGTAGCCAAAGAATATTACTCCGCTCATTGGATGAAACAGATGTCATACAAGCAAGTATCTGAACAGGATGTCTTAGCCAGGCATGAAAGACTGATCCACTGAATGCCATCTATCCTAGTAAGAGCAGCTAACATTGTTACAGTTCTGCTGTAAGGTACTATAAACTCACTTGGAATAAAGGTAAAATAAAACTCACAATACTTCACAAATTACTCCAAAATACCCAGTCCAAAAAAATCTAAAATATATTCTTCCATAGGTTCCAAGACTTTATGATAAACCATTGACATAACATCTGCATAACTACCTACAGAAGAATGTAATTACTATTCAGATGAGTGTACTCCATGCTTTCATTTCTCTCCTAACACATGCCATGAGCTTTTTAAGAATGTCTGTAGACATAAACAGATGAAACTGCAGAACTCCGGACTAAACTTGAAATGCTTTCACTTTTCTGTTGTCCCCAACTGCAAATCAGCCATCATTTACTTGTTTTTGATACATAGTATAAACCCCAGAAAAATACCACAATCCCCTCAGGCTATTCAACAAAGCCATGATTTTATGAATGTTTTGTCTTCTCACACAAGAATTTCACAAATTCCTCTTCAAACACAGTGTAAAAGGCTTAATTAGCCTTTGCAGGAATGCATACATTCTCATCGCTATTCTTTCCAACCCTCACGTACCTGTTAAAGGCAAGAGACAAGACTTTTTTCTTTTAATATTTTTAAGAACCTAAAAAGTAACATTTTGAAGGATATATTTAGAGTTATTTTTATTTGAAACATTTACTACCTCCTACAAAATAAAGTAGTGAAACATAATTGCTTCTTCTTCTTCAGAAGTATTCATAAAGAGCACAGAAAGTCTGACAGAAATGCAATCTAGTTTATTTTTTTCATCGAGGCTCCAAGGAAAAAGATAACTTATCCTCCCAGACTGTATCAGTAAATTCCAGAACAATTCCTCAAATCAGGGGACAACTTGATCTTTTGCAAGGTTTTGAAGCAGATCATCTTGAAGGAAATCACACACCATGTGCAGAACAACAGGAGGATGAGGGCTAGCCATCATGGTTTCATGAAAGGCAGTTCCTGCTTGACCAACCTGATCTTCTATGATCGAATGATCTGCCAGGTGGATGATGCAAAGGCTGCAGACGTAATCTACCAAGAATTTAGCGAAGCTACCGACACTGTCTCCCACATCATTCCCCTGGAGAAGCTGGTAGGACAGATACACTTTTTGCTGTGTTAAGAACTGTCCAGTCTCCACAACTGATGGTGAATGCAGTCACATCTAGAGGTCAGCAGTGGGGCCTGTCCTGTTCAATATCTTTATTGATGACCTTGATGAGGGCACTGTGTGTGCCCTCAGTAGGTTTGCAGACAACACTAAGGTGGGAGGCATCACTGACCTTCACAGGGGTAGGAGAGTCCTACTGAGAGATCAGGACAGGCAGGGTCACAGGGCTGAAATCAGTGTGATGAAGTTCAACAAGACCAAATTCCAGGTCTTGCACTTGGGCCACAACAACCCAAGGCAATGCTACAGGCTTGAGGCAGAGTGGCTGGAAGACTGCGTAGAGGAAATGGACCTAGGGGCAGCGGTCAACATTCAGCTGAACATGAGCTAGCATGGCCAACAAGGCCAATGGCATCCTGGCTTGTATCAGAAATAGTGTTGCCAGCAGTAGCAGGTTAGTGATCATCCCTTTGTATTCAGCACTGGTGAGGCTGCACCTTCAGCACTGTGATCACTTTTGGGCCCCTGGCTATAAGAAAGACACTAGGCCCCAGAGAAGGGCAGTAAAGCTGGTGAGGGGTCTGGAGCAGAGGCCTTATGAGGAACAGCTGAGGGAACTGGGATTATTTAGTTCTAGAGAAGGGGAAGCTCAGGGATGACTATACCCCTCTCTACAACTACCTGAAGGGAGGCTGTGGGGAGCCTAAAGGTCAGCCTCTTCTCCCAGGTAACTACAGGGAATGGCCCCAAGTCGCAACAGGAGAGATTTGGGTTGGACATTAGGAAATACTTCTCCAAGCGTGTGGTCTGGCACTGGAACGGACTGAGCAGGATGGTGGTAGAGTTAGTGACCCTAGAGGTGGTCAAGAAATGTTTAGATGTTGTATTGAGAAATATTGGTGGTAGGAAGACAGTTGGGTGGAATGGCCTTGGAGTTCTTTCCCAATCTTGATGACTCTGTGATTCTTTAAGATGATTCTTTAAGAGAGATGGTACTTAATTCATTCACCTCATCTATGACCACCTAAACCATGTGGACATTTTCCCTTTAAGGCATGCAACACACATGCATCCACAGTACTGTAATACATTCATAGCCTTGGTCTTGTCCTATTATACTAGTTTACCTAGCTGTGGTATGAAATGGGCTAAGAACAGGAAGTGATTTCTCTCCCTCTAAACAGTTTCATGGAGAGAAATCACCTCTTTTCTTCAACAGTGAGCTCAAATTAACATCTTTCACAGAATGAGCATGAAAAAAAAAAAATCAAAACAGGGAAATGAAGTTAAATTATTTCCATTCTTGTCCCTATGGCTTCAAGAAGATTCCCTTTTTTCTTACCTCTCTTGCCCAGTTTAATTAGCAAACAAGTAAATCCACACAATTACAGGAAGCATTGCTTGATGTCTTTAGAAACCAGACTGCTAGGGACATGTTATCTGCAATTACCCCAGCTCTACTTTGTAGCCTACTCACATCCAATGTATTTTGAAAACCCTAGAAATGAGGAACAGATTAATTTATTAGAATAAAGTCCTTGAAGCTGAAAATATGTGACAAAAATGGCAACAACTGCTTTCTCTGATAGTACTGCATATGTTAGCCAGGAAGCAATGCTCTATTTAATGTGTAGAGCAGAATATGAAAGCTCCAAGGGGAAAATGCATCTCTGCGCCACACAACACCTTAATGCTTTCCAAAATGGTTACTGAGGGCAACAGTGGAAAGTGGTCTGCAAAGATGCTGAAATGCACAACACTGAACAGACTGAAGACTGGAAATTTGATCATGGTCTTTAATATCAGTGGTGTAGATTGGGTTTAATGTTTATTAACTGAGAGCCACTGAAGCTTAAGATTGATGTATACGATTTATGTTTTATATCCTATTTACAATAGGCTCCAAAGTTCTTCCTAACACACAGATAAAGATGACCCTTTCCAGAAACTCTTGCCCTATTATTTTCTTATTTATACATCTTTAATTGTTAAGAGTATATTGCACTCTTTCTAAGAGGGGAAAATCTGCACATAAAGAGAAAAACTAAAGACTGGGGAGATGGATAACAGTAGCGCCCACCAGATGTATTTAGTAGCTAGGCATTTGCCACTGTAGATCCTAGAAACAATTATGTTATGCATATAATGACTTTCCTGTCACTTCAAAGACACTAATGCCTGCTCTGTCACCTTTTAAGAGCTTAGTAGCAGTGAGATATAAAACTGAAGAACTTGGCAGCAGTACCATGGTCCACTAGGCATGTTCATTAGCACTTAATTAAAAACTAGACACCTGCCATAAGAAATGTGCTCGAAGAAGGATGAGTAACAGGTCTGTCTTACTACCAATTATTATCATTACTTGCAGAGTAAGGGCTGTGTCCAGCTTCAGAGGGATATGGGAAGCAGAGAAGAGAGCAGTGATGCATACCTAAGTAACTGCACTGAGATAATTAGCCAGAGCATTGATTTTAAGAGCATCAATAGTTCACTCAACATTTCGTTGCAAAAGCAGAAGTTCTTTATATTTTCAAAGGGAGGAAAGAAATATACATTCAGCTGAATTAGATTTTATTACCTCTTTTTTTTTTTTCCTACTAACCCCCAACCAGACTGCGAAGACCCCAAAATTAACATGTGAAAAACACAGCCCTTGCTTCTCCAAGCAAGGACTTCCTAGCAATTCTAAAAGTCCTTTATGTC